ATCACTCCGGTCTAATTGGTCTGTTTAGACATATCTTGTTGTGGTATCTCGGTAGTCGAATCAGGACCCACCGGCTGACCAGTAATAGAAGGAACAGCAAACCACACTACGGAACCACCATCCAACTAGTATTGCCGTGACGGTCAGCCATACACTTGCTCATGAACGTGGACAACTGAGGTTTAATTGTCCCTGGAGTGTAAGGTAGATTTCCGAACTGAGACCCTCTTTTGATTTTCTAGATCGTCTAAGGTGAGTCGGTCCTTGTGGGCAAACCAAGCATGACTTCACAGTCATTCCTTGATTAAATGTCAATAGAATATCCGTTGGTCACTGTTTTGCAGTAGTTATTCGTGTTGCTCATTTACTGGGTATCCCGTTGTTATAACAGGTTCATGGTTTAGTTTCATGATTGTATTTTTCAATCACTCAATCTTCATCTACCCAATACTACTGATTGAGTAATGAGCCTAGAAAATTAAGGAACGAAAACCGATTGGAACTAATTCGAAGCTCCTTCAGCCCGTCGATTCAAGACTTTGGCAACCATTCTAGCCAACAAGAGCCGTTAATTGACACTCAACACTGATCTAGTGTGGATTTAGAGGACTTATTAATTGGTTTCCCGCCTGTCTTATAACCTGGTCAATTTGGTGACCTGTTCACTTGGCCTGATGAAGCTTTTGTGGCAAAAGCGAAAAGTTGCCTAAATAAAAACTACCGATTGTTCACTGAGCTCTTCTGAAACAACAAGCCTGGTCACCTTTTTTCAAATAAATAAGAAACAACCATAAATCTACGAGCTTTGCATGGCTAATCTGCTAGATACTTCTCATAATGTGATCGAACACCCAGAAATCACCCTCAAAAGTATCCTTTCCTGGTTGCCTTACCTTCGTATACCTTAAAAACAACTTCCGTTCCATAGCAGATTGGCCAAATCATCCAGTAAATACTTAGAACTGTAATATGCACACTGGAAGCAGTACAGGACGGTGATTCTTTGAAGCCAGGCATTAACTGTGGGTGGGAAACAGAAGGGTGCCTCAAGAGCCGAAGTTCAGTAGGCAAGGTTGTACATCAACAATATGATTGAATCAACTAAAACGGGTGTGTACTGGAGTATTGGACATGAGTTTTCATCTGAGTCTCCTTTTTAGTTGTGGAGGATGCCATGTGTTTAATGGCTGTGACATTTTTGTTACTATCAACCATATGCTGGAGGTGCCTACTTCAAACAACGGCTCACATAACCTGCTTCTGGCTTTTCAGCAAATAAATAGTTGCTTTAGACACTGCATAATCCTCTCGTCGAAAATTTAGGCACACATCTTGATTATCCGTAAAATTCCCACCAGATGAACACTGTTTTTAATCTAGTGGTTATGTATGTCACTCCATTAAAACTACACTTCAAGTCAGCTACCAAGGAATGACTGGGATTCGATAGACACAGTCATAATTTTTACATAACTTTTGGTTACCTTAGAAAAATCCGTGCAGAGATCAACCACATGTTGCTAGTTGGCTGTTGCAAGCTGTTGTAGGCATGAAATGGACTTTGCACGTTAGCCACATTGTGAGCACCCCATGGCAGTGTCGATACATGTAATTCAGAATACATGGTCACAGTGAAATAGCTATCACCTAGCTCGACATTTCCCGCTCTATCCATTTACTCTTAGTTTCAGTAACTACAGGGAAACAGAAGGGTGCCTCAAGAGCCGAAGTTCAGTAGGCAAGGTTGTACATCAACAATATGATTGAATCAACTAAAACGGGTGTGTACTGGAGTATTGGACATGAGTTTTCATCTGAGTCTCCTTTTTAGTTGTGGAGGATGCCATGTGTTTAATGGCTGTGACATTTTTGTTACTATCAACCATATGCTGGAGGTGCCTACTTCAAACAACGGCTCACATAACCTGCTTCTGGCTTTTCAGCAAATAAATAGTTACTTTAGACACTGCATAATCCTCTCGTCGAAAATTTAGGCACACATCTTGATTATCCGTAAAATTCCCACCAGATGAACACTGTTTTTAATCTAGTGGTTATGTATGTCACTCCATTAAAACTACACTTCAAGTCAGCTACCAAGGAATGACTGGGATTCGATAGACACAGTCATAATTTTTACATAACTTTTGGTTACCTTAGAAAAATCCGTGCAGAGATCAACCACATGTTGCTAGTTGGCTGTTGCAAGCTGTTGTAGGCATGAAGTGGACATTGCACGTTAGCCACATTGTGAGCACCCCATGGCAGTGTCGATACATGTAATTCAGAATACATGGTCACAGTGAAATAGCTATCACCTAGCTCGACATTTCCCGCTCTATCCATTTACTCTTAGTTTCAGTAACTACAGTGTTATATCTGCTGGTTCGTCAATCTGAGGTATCTGCTGCTGACCTGCTCCAGTGCCTAGTGTCGGAGAGAAAGACTCACAGAAGGGAACGCAACAGCTGTATTCCGAACAAGCGAGTGAGTGAGGGAGCAAAAGTAACAACGGCCCCACGCTATTTAAAGGGGGCTTTCTGACATTGGTCCAGGCTGTCTGATAGGCGTTAGTGATCACCCATCAACATCGATCGTGCCTCTGTGAAAAGCCTGAATGCTGATCACATTCGGTCGTGCTTCTGTTTCACAGAGAACACTCATCAGGTTTTACTGAATTGATCGAATGATTGACTGGCCTGGATGCTTTCCGGCTTTCCAGTTGAGCTTTTGGTGGAGCAGTAGGTTCCGGGCGTTCAGAAGTTGATTTCAGGAATCTGACCTTCCTGATACACAGTCTACCGGAGAAACGGATGTCTGGGAGTATTATATTACATTAGTATAAACAGCCCTTTTGTAACCACCAAAATGTGGCCGTTCCGAAGCCTCTTTCGTTTTGCAGTGACGAACTATCCGGAACGTAAGTATTCTTCTTTCAAGTTGAGTTGTCTTGTCACAGTTCAAACGACATTCCAACAAAATTCTAAACGCCACTAAATAAACTTCACAAAGTAGCGCGTTAATAATCAAGAAACGACTGCTACTGCACACATAGATCCTGGATCTCAAAGTTTGGAGTATTCCACTCTTAGTCGATATCAGTCATGTTAATTTGTATCAACGTGTGCACCTGAGAGAACCCTTTCGAAATTGCGGTTTAACGGATTGGCGAGCTACCAGCCGGTCAAACTACATCCTTTTCCGGTCACAACGGCAGTTGTACGTAGGTCACTGCAGAACGAATGGAGCAGTCGGACCAGTTGAAGATTGGAACTTGGTACTTAACCAATCACTGTGTGTATGACCCATTTCGGACCACGAATTTATGCGTGACTATGCCCAATCAATTTTGTGATTAATGACACTCCAAAGATCAGACTTCACAAAATCTAATTAGATTTTCTATCTAGTGTCAGTTGTTTATTTTATCTGTGAACACGGATGTTTTCACCCTTCGAAAATCCATGTTAAGAAAGAGAAAGTGCATCAATAAACTAGTGGTGTTACAAAATAAGGGAAATGCACATTGTCCTACAACACTAGTGTGAACCATAAGCGTTATTATGGCTAGTTCCTTCGTCTGAATAGTTTATTGGGGACTTTATGCAGCCTTAACATATTACACAGCTTGTCCTTTTATGTTACGGGGTAATCAGAGTATGTGTAATGAATGGTCTTTCGACTTTTGCTGTGATGAACCAGTCTATCTTTGTATTCTGGGCAAAGAGTAAGTGGATACTGCACACAACTTAGATGTCTCATTTTCTCTACTAAAGTGCTTGCAATGAAGGTTGGCCTTTTGGGGCTCTAGAAAATCTGGTGTTGTATACATCCCGGCCTTCATTCTTAGGCACTGTTGAAGTCGACAGTCGTTACGCATGAAGAATTATGGTATGACAGGAAGCAGTCATGAAAAGAACCACCCCCTGTATCAACTCTGGCCACTACTATGCTGTAGGTAGAAGCTACTGAAGTCCGATTTGCTCGGAAGAACAGTGAGAATAACATCAGTAACCGACGTTGGTGATGAGTTGGTGTATGAGTTTCACAGCCACCGCAATTTTCCATTCAAGGAGCATTCTGTTCAAATTGCATTTTTATACTTATCTTGGTTAATATCATAGAGACCTTTGTTACTGTGCGTATGTTTTATCATAGTTTAAAATTTATAAATATACATAATGATATTATTCACAAGTTCCTATTATTCTGATCGTAACAATTTCCTCTATTCAGGCCTACTCATTTACAAAAAAACAATTCCCACTACTGTAATTCACATGGTTCGTGTCTTTCGCTCGTCCCCGTAGCCTTTTTCCATCTATTACCAATTTTTTCGTTGCCACAGTTCAACAGCTAATAGCCACAAACCATTTGTTATTTCCAGACGCCAAACCTCATGGAACATGTGGTTCTGTAGTTCAGTATTAACGAAAACTTGGCGAAAAACCAGTTGCTGTAGTTCAATTTCTTAACACCGTGGTTTGCAATTAGAAAACGGATATATCATGGTCACATTTTACAGAGGAACGTTTACAGACCTCCATTCCTCACATGTTAACCTTCGCAGCACCTATTCTCAGAAAAAATGATTTGCTGTGAGAAGTCTGAACACTTGTTTCAGAATGGGGACGAGAAATGTGGAATTCGCTGTCCACATTCTGCCTGATTTAGCGGAAAAATATGTACGCTCCACTGTGGCCCAACGAGTCTTAAGAAATATGGAACACATTTTTACTCTATAGTTCCCAGTGGTCCTTTGGAGTTCCAATAACCAGTTTCAGTAAACACCTAAAAGCAGAGATAATAAATAAGCTATATTGCACACACACACACACACTTCATTGAGTTGATTACAAACTCGATTGGGATTGAATCTGTGGGAAAACTATTCACCTCTTGCATGAGTAAGGTCTTTCCTTCTCATCCCTCCTTTCAGTTCAACCTCAGGGCAAAAAATTGTTCGCCTTCGAAATCAGCAGCTTTTGAATCGGTTCCAGTGGCTTTGGAGTAGTAACGTGCAGCAAGATGAAAACCGCGACTGGTGCATTGGGGCGATGCAGATATCCTCTAGTTGTGAAGTTCACTTGGCAAGCACGGCATGCGTTTTTGTCGACGCTTTCACCGAACTATTTGGAGCTCTTTTTGCTGGTATCCCCGTGGTAGTCCCCGGAGGCCCTGATTGTGCTAGCGAAGTATGCGTTTCCGACCTACGTATCCTGATTCGGTTGATTCGCCAGTTCCGTATTACCCGACTGACTACAGTACCAATGCAACTCAAAGTTTGGATACAACAAGGACGTCAAATTCCTGAAATGGTGTACAATGATTGTAGCTCAACACTGAACACTGTAGTTGTCAGTGGCGATATACTTCATCCGCAACTAGCTGAAGAGTTCTTCCCGAGTGAGCATCCCCATCGCGTCCGACTGATCAACTTCTACGGGACCACCGAAGTGGCCGGTGATGTGACTGCAGCAGTCTTCTGCAATCGTAACGAGGTGCGCATGGCAACAAAGCAGTTGGATTTTGCTAAGCGCGAGGGTCTGATTCGGGAAAATCTTTCATTTATTGCTGTTGGTAAACCCATAAGCAATACTGCTGTGTATATTGTCCAAAAGTGCGAAGACTGTCTAGACGCTTGTGGGAAACGTGGTCGTGGTTGTGCGAATGGCGTTGAAGCAGAAAAGCCGACTGTCACTCATGCAATTCAAAACTGTGCAACCAACAACCTTTCCGTAATTGGAGATGAATTATATCCCGTAGACTGGAAACGTCTTGGATATGAATTATGTGAGATGGGCAGTGTCGGAGAAGTTGCTGTTACTGGGCTGCCTACTTCAGGATTAGTCGAACCAGCAAACAACCGGATGGATGTCACCAGCTGCAAGACGATGAATGGTGAGAATGCTCCTCTCTCTCACAAACCTCACGTCAAACAAGCAGCCGTTAATTTCCCTGGAGATCTTGGGTTTATCTGCCCCAGGAACAATCTTCTGTACATTTGCGGTCGTTCGGATGAACTGGTAAAAATAAATGCGGTTGGCTTCCTGGCCAGTGATGTGGATCGTTTGTTGCTCAGGTTAAAAGGAAAAGGCTTGCGCAGTGTACAGCAGTACATGTCCTCTTTGGAGAGTAAGCTTTGTGGCTTCCATGAATCTGTCACTCTACCCATCAAGCATCCGGTACATAAGAGCAGTCAACTCGTCTGCTTCTATGCTGTGCAGTCGATTGCGGCAAAGGACTCAGAAGAGAAGGTCAATTCATCCGTATCAATGAACACAGTTTTGGGAGATGCAGTGCGATGTGTCACACAAACAATGCTTATCAAACGTGGTTCAACTTTGTGGAACGAACTGTCGCCAAAACCATGCGAACTATCAACTCTCATTGCAAACTATGTCCCAGTATATATTCGACCAGTGTTTGTGCCGGTAAGTCAGCTGAGATTTGTGATCTTTTTGAGTTAAATGTACTTGGGACTAGCTAGCATGTTGAGTTCCCCCGATTAAAGCTTATCTCTATTGTGAGGTGGTTATAGCGAACCTAAAGTCTATTCCACAAGATGCCTAAGAGAAGTAGCTCAAGAATGCAATAAGCAGTGTCCCTTAAGAAGTATTTGTTCTGTAGAATGAAATGTTTAGTGCCTGTTATCGAAAGCGGTTGACTTCCTCAATTTTCTAAAGTTGATAAAGGTGTACATCGGGTCTTATCACAGTGAAAAAAGTTACTGTAATTAGCAACTGAAAAATTAGACGTCCCCGTGCCAAAATTTTCACAGAATGTTGGGTTGCGCGAACTCATTGTCCATAGATAACATGGTTTTTGCTTAGCTAAACACACACGATCCGTTGGAAGTTGTCAGAGATTGTGAAAAAGATTCATATGCCACCCATGTGTAGGAATGAAAAGACAATCGTTCAGCTGTGACCCCTTTCGGTGACTAGCTGCCACGCTAGCCGAAGGATGCATGAGGGCTGGGATACTGCCAGGCTGCCCAAGCCTAGACAGGAGAAGTCGAGTTGGAGAGACCGCGAACTTTCCGGTCAGTAAATTCACGCCCATGTGTGATCCGGATCAATAGCTTGTTCGTTTCTAAGATGATTTGTATTCCCACGGCTTACAATTATGATGGTTTATGACCAGTAGTTTACTCGTCTTACTCACCACTTTTGTGCATAAACAACAATGGATCGGTTAAGGACCAGCTCCATGTAGCTTCCATTATGTTACTGCGTCTTAATACCCAACAATATGGACTTAATGACACGTCTTTACCAAATTTTTCGTTCAGGACGAGGAATCAAAAACCTGTGGCTCGACTGGAGCTGGAAGCTACCTATTCGAGGGTTGTTTGCAATATGCCAACTTAAAAAGAAAACTAAGATCCTTTTGGATAAGTGGCATTTTGAAGCTCTTAGCATAGTCATCCCTGGGTTTATAGCGCGAGGAATATGATCTACTTTGCGGTGCAAACTCGCCTCATGTTCCGGTTATTTACAATGAAATATTGCAAAAAGCCAATTTGTGCCAGAAGACAGTGTATGGGCACTCTGTTTTGCTTCGCCCGTACCTTGACCATATGCACTGTATTGCGTGAGGTAAGAACCGTCATCCCCACCTGATCAAGCTCAGTTGAATACTCTGAACATTCTTCTGGGTTAGCAAAACCAATTCTTTAGGATTTGCTTGCATGAGAAATGCTTCTCTTTCCATTTATGATTTTCACTTTGAAGGAGAGAAAGAGACATTTGTCTTGTCGGACTTTATGTCGTTTGGCATTTTATTCAGGCTGAACAGAATAAACCTTCATTTTTATTCTTAGACTTATCAAGCAAAGCCAAGGCATTAGCAATTATGAAGGCACAACTTTCCAACTATCGTAACGGGCACTCATATTGACTTTTAGGTAACTCATATCCCCATCATGCCAACAAGTGGAAAAGTGGACAAACAGCTTTTACGAGCTTTGTATGAAGAGCCGTTTGCCTCGGAAAGTGGAATGCATCAGGGCTTCCAACCAGATTCACTCAATGAAATACCCTACCCAATTTCTCAAAACGAGAATGGCATCAACCGCGAACGAAAACATCGGGAAGTGGCAAGAGCAGCTCTGAGGAAAGTCTTGGGATTGCAGCGAGGCAGCTCCAGTGGAGGAACCGCACGACCACGGGATGATGAAGACTTTTATTTGCTTGGAGGAAATTCTTTAGTGGTAAGCTTGTAGTGAGGCACTGACTAGCGCTTCACTTTTGTGTTCCGTTCCCATGTGAACAAACAAGTAATGCCATAGCTCCGGGTGGTCAGAAGCGTAGTAATTAGTTTAGGCCTTGTTGTGCTCAGTCGCGTCAGCCTTTGCTAAAGACTCGCGAAGCGCTGTTTCATTTTTGTCGGGAATTGTCAGTTAGTTCCGAAATTTTGGTTGCAAACTATGGCTCCCCGGCAAGATGACCAGAAACTGCTGACCATGATTTGAGGATACATCTAAGATCATCATGACCAGTGAAATCAACCGGCATGCTTGCATACGTTTGCATTGACAGTCAATTACCTTAAAAAACTGGCAACCTGTTTTGAAGTCGAAAAATTGCCTGGAATTACGAGACTTCCTAACTCCGCAAGAAAACTCCAAAATAAAATATATATAATCTATAAACTAGAGCCATATTGATGCTACACATGTTGACTTCCAAATGGCTGGTTGTAATTGCCCCTTACACCTTCTCATATGTAAAAATCTGGTTCGTTCATATGCACATATTCTGCAGTACGTCAAATACGTAAACGAATTGTACCATAGAAACTAGTTTGTCTTCGAGAATCTCACTAGTGCAGCGAACCCAAATTCTTCTTCTAGAACAGTAGAAAATCTGGAAGCAAATGATCTTACTTAGGAAAATCTATCGAACTCTTTCAATTAACAGTATTAGTAACCGAAGCAGTTCGCGAAATCCACTGAGTAGCTCTTTCACATTGTTAAGTTAAACAATTACTTTGGGGGAAACCTTTCCTGGTATTTCAGGTTGAACAGTACGTAGAGCAGTATCTCCGCTGTAATATTCGAGAGCAATGACCCAATCGGGACAAGTGCGCAAAACTGAGGACAAAACAACCAATCATTACCGATTTATTTATTCATTTTTTTGGTTTTCACGTTCAAAAACGAATTTTTGCTTCAGCCAAAACACCTGATCAAACTGAAAGTACTTCCGAAACACTCAACAATTCCCACATATTTTCACTTCTTCCTCACTCCACCCCGACTCTAAGGCTGTTTTGGCACTGGAAAGTTTGCGGCAACTTGGATTTACGGTGCGCCTGGAAACATTTTATCACACAAGCAACATTGGGCAAATCTTGGACTCGTTGGTTCACTCGGAGAGTACTGTGACCCCGACTAAATACGGCAATGAGCCGGGAAGAATCCACGACGGAAGCATGAAAAACGGAGAATTGATTGAGGCGGAGGAACAGGTTTGTATTTTGTGATCACTGGCTGGAAAACGTGTGATTAAAGTACACCAATAGAATCGTGCGGTAATGATAGCTGATCATATGGCACTTTTTGAATATCTAGTAAAAATTAGGTGGTTCGGAAACATGGCTGCTGAGTTAACCAGTCTCTTCAAAAATGTTGCTTCGCATGCCTGAATGCTGCAGAATGAGTACAGTTTTTCGAACACTTACTTGATCCTGTTGAGTTCACTAAATTAAGGTTCCCTTCGTAAATGAACAATGCAGTCTAGAAAGACATTCCTTTGTTAAGCGTGGTGGGTATATGATTTCGTTCATCTAACCCCGGTGCATATCAGAAAATCCTATGCGGAAGCTTTCCACTTACTGGAGAACTTCCCTGGTTGGTCTTTCCCGGTTCTGGACTGAATTTTAAAACACAACGAAAAAGGAAATATACAAGAATTAAAGGGCGTGCGGTCAGGTAGCACCGCGTTAAACTGACATTTTTCTTCAAGAGAACAGGTCTATATCAAATGAAATGGTCCCCTGCGTCACCTCGAATGAAGGATTTTTAAAAAGATCCCGGAAAATTTAACCAGATACCTGCATAGACGTAACACTCTACTCATGAGGTTTTTGAAAATTTCTCGGCAGCCCACGACCGGTTTCGCCCTATTTGGGGCTCATATACAGGCACAGTGGTTCATGAGGTTTTTGAAAATTTCTCGGCAGCCCACGACCGGTTTCGCCCTATTTGGGGCTCATTAGACAGGCACAGTGGTAGAGGTTCCGTCAACCTTATGGTCTAGTTTAACCCAAATTGCACGAAATAAGCAAACTACACTCAGTTGTAAAAAATTGGGTTTTTTGAGAGACTCACCTGGAACCCGGCAGAATCTCTTGTTTAGAATGTTCCCAACATAAGGCGGCCTGCTGCAACACATTCAGTTGCTTAAAAACATCACAAACGAGAGATTCGGCTGAGTTCTAGGTGAATTTCTCGAAAAATAGTAGCAATAGATAGTTCCTCACAGCTTTTTTAAGCGTTACTCCCGTTTTTCCAGCGTGGATCTTTGCCCCATTAGTGACTCAATTCTCGGCGTACATTTTCGCTCACCGTCTGGCAAAATTGTCCCACAAAAGGCTTCGAAATTTGAAAGGAATCTGTCAGTCTGTGCTCACTAGTGTTTTCCTTCACCAGCATACGTGTGCTCAAAGTGCGTGAGTGATTCTGACGTCTAACAGAACCAACTAATTTCAAATAAATTTTCAGTATGCCACAGATTCTAATTGCTATCGTGAAACTCGCTGTGCAAGGCCACCATCCGTCTCTACTACATCTTGGTTCCCACAAAATCTTTGTTCAACAAAATCCATAATTGTTTGTTCGATATCTACCACTATGCTCCCAAACCATTATTGTTTATCCCTTTGTCTTTTTGTTCTCCTTTGTTCTGCTGTTGTTCGTTGTTCAGACTAGCGTCGCGCCTCATGATTCTTGTATAAATCCTGTGTAATGTCATCTAATAGCTTATGCTAAGCGTTACAAAAATGGCATAAACTGGTATCCACGATCTAAGCGAATACTGTGGGTGAGAAATCTATGTTACGTGCAGCTGAAGTGCTAAACATAAGTATTTTCTAGTCTATAACTATCTTTTAGACTAAAAACCCATGTTGCGCACTTTGGTAGGCCGACAGTAGCATCATTCTCGTTTTCAAAATAAAAAGCAGCTTACCATGCACCCAATATTATGGGTCATGGTTCGTCGTAACCCAAATCCCTCGGGCATAACCCAGCTTTTTCGCCTCAGAGCCTTTTTACATCCCTTTGCCGTTCTTTTGAGGATTTCATAGATAGAATTTTGACAAGTGACTTTCATGGTGATTGGGAGGTTAGTAATCCCAAATGAGTTCTGAAGTCACAGACCTCTGTCCACTGGCGGCGCAAGAAAACTCCTTGTTATCAGGTAGATGGAGTGAGTTAACTACTGAATGGTGAACGAGACTCTGATGGATACTTCCAGATATTGAAGTGCTTGTTATTGCCACCCCTCGTTCAGAAGGGTGGGGTGGTTGAAAATGGATCTTACGTAACCAAAGCCACTGTATCGACCAGCCTTCAGTACTGACGTTTACCTGACAAAGACATAGTGGAAAGTAAACAAAAGTGCAAACGCCTGTGACCCACCAAGGGGTTAATAGCTTTCCCGAAACAGGAATAGTGAATGGCCAATCAGGATGTTATACTCATACTCATCAAAAACACAGCAAAGAGATCTGTATGGTTGTGAGGCGAAATATACGGCAAACACCCTTGAGATTTTCATCCACGGAAACTCATTTTAGGGTAGTCCTGTGAGCACCTCGCTTTCAGTTTCTACCTTCAGTGCATTTGACGAAAGCGGTATTCATGCAAACTGTACGACTGATTTTTGATAGGATTTATCACTTTCTGGCCAAAAGTAAGTCAGGCATTTTTGTCGATATTTAAGTAATGATGAAATAGGTGGTCTGGTAACTTTGTCATGGGATTTATTCTGCAAGGAGAGACCGGCTACGCCTTGCTTTCATCCGTTTGAAAAAAGGCTAAAAATGCCAAACTACTGGGGGTATTATTGAAGTTGGCGATCTAATGGATGCTGACGATTATTTCATTATATCTCGAAAGAAGCATATTTTGCTTGTGTTAGTTATTTTTGATATCCCCATCCAATAGTCAACCCACGTACAGTAATAGCCACTGCGAAAAATTCAAAGCAGATGAGATGTTATCACGAAAATAACTGTTCGGTGCAAATCGAACTGTCGGACCGGCCACTCAGAGTATGGCGGGCGTGAACTAAGTTTTGAAACGCCTCCACGTCTGATCAGGAGCGGTAGGAACATTTGGGAGACCAAAAATATGTATTATCAGAAGACAGATGAACCACAATCTGCTTCCCACTCCGATTACACCTATATTAAGCAGGTCTATTTTGGTTATTCCAAATTTTCGGCAGCTTCGCCATACATCTGCTGCGAATATTTTGGTAATTTCTTCCTGATTCTAAGCCACTCTCTGGCTGACATTAGCTGAACAATCAAATGATTGTAAACCCTTAGTAAACCGACGATTTTGCCAGGTTAAAGCAGACCTAATCAGATTCGGGACTTGAAAAGTGGAACCCTGAACTCCGAGTACAGATGCCGTTCATTGGTACTTCCAGATTCCAACTTGGTATCACAGTGACTTGAAAATGTATTTGGCTCGCCAGTTGGGTATAATTTTTGTATTTCATAAAAACACCTGGTTGGTAGAAACCCGGGGTTACCTCATTTTAATGGAATTTAAGAAGGGAGAAACCGTGGTGGGCCGTGAAAATGTTTTCAGCAACGTGAAGTATGTTGCGATAAAATAATATGTAACATACCACTGTCAAACTATATTGTTATTCTCAGAAATTTGCCAACTACGAATGTATTAGATATTCTGGAGGCGTCCCAGCGGTCAAGTATTGCTGAACGCTCCATAAGATTGAAGTGTTGGTTGGATTAGATTCGTCTCACAAGGTTAAGTCTATATGGCCCTGACCGTTCCATGTATTTTGATTTACCCTTTCTTAATACCTTGCCTGCACAAAATTCTATGGGCTCAGTCATGTGACACCTGAGATTGCGACAAACATTACGTGCAGACCTCCAGGACGTACCTGGGAGCAGTTGTGAGGTCCAGGGTACATTCTAGATGGAAACCTTACTTCTGAAACTCCCATCTGAGTTCATGCGCCCAAAGAGCTTGTATCTGAAAGTCAAAACTCATTACAGCAAGATGGATAACGATAAGCTAACCAATAATGGACTTTTTGTTCGTAACCTTCTTTTAGTAAAACCACATTTAGAATCTATCTACGGATCCTCTGCGTAGCAGAACCTTAGGTTGTGAAAGAGCACCACCTCTGTAGCCAAACTGTTTTCATATCCCTTTGAGAAAGGATTCTACGATGCCCGCGTCCAGTTATGTGTCTGCCAATCATTCGTCCAGTTTTCCCTACTGCAGATGAGTTGCGCACTTAAAGCCGCCTGACCGGTCAGTCAGTGAAGGCGACTGCACAACCCTAGTTGACAAAGTTCATGTGACATGTCCTTACGGCGAGTGAGTGGCCTAATCAGGGTCCCTTCCCGACAAGTACTTCCTCCCGTTCCATGAACGATGCCATATCCGGGCCTTAATGCTGTCATACCAAATGGCGAATGGCCCAAGGTGGTTAGAGCGCGAATTTACTGACCGGAAGGTCCGTGGTTCGAATCCCACCTCCGCCTCTCGACTTCCCCTGTCTAGGCTTGGGCAACCTGGCAGTATCCCAGCCCTCATGCTTCTTTCGGGTGACATGGCAGCTAGGCACCGGGAGAGTGCTACAGCTGAACGCATACCAAAAGGCTGTCGCCGACAATGAAACTACTGTACAAAGATTTCCGGAAACTTTTTATCTTGCAGACAACTCTGCTATGACTACTACTCAAGAACCGTTTAGCAACATGTGATTCGGTACCTCACGGTGGATCGGATGTTACCACTTTGATGTGGGTTTGGTGCTCCAGACTAAGTGAATACGTGCTATCCGGCATTCAAGCTACAGCTTTCCGCACAGAGTTTTCAGGTCATTTCCTTCGAACGATTTTTTGAGAAAAGCGTCCCTTTTATACCAGTCATGCGTTGGACCCAAATAAAAAATGGTCAGCCACTCGAATGGTGCAGTAAGTAGTCAATTTTGGCCAGTCTCATGAAGCTTCTGCGGATGTTAACATGAAGATATGTGCACATTCTGAATAAACAATTCACACAAAACTTTGTGCACTAGTTGCGAATATTCAGGTAGGCCACATCCACAATCTAATAAAATGCAGCTTCTTGTCGACTAACTGGCACAGAAAACCCATTTGTCAGAGGTAGATCTGCCAGTAAACTTAAACCAACCACACTGTTATATGAATGTTTGGATGTCCCGAGGAAATTTCTACACGTTCGCCCTCAAGGGATGCAAATCAACATCAGAATAGTTTGTCGACAACCGTACCAGTTGTCTAGATGGTTGACTGTTGTCTGTTGTTTTTATTTTCTGTTGATTGCTGGTGTCAGGTAGTTGCCTATTACTTCTGTGTCTACGAATATTTACTCTTCACAGATGCCGGTTAACTGGATAGAATATTGCTCTGTTGTTGAGACAAAGTTGAGGAGTTTGACTAGAATCAGCTTGGGTGTGCAATCAGCGTGTGGCAGTAAAGGGCTTACTGTGTGAAACAATCCAAAGTTGTAATCAACATACTTGTTAATTACGTGACGTAATTATTTGTTCCCCTATTCCTCAGGCCAGTTTATTACCCTTCCAGTGACTGCTAGAGTTTCAAGACTGGACTGTTCTATTTCATACAAAGTCGACTCTACATCAACCCTTATCCATAGACGATCTGTTCACATTCATTTCTGGGCTTGTTGAAAATTTGTCCCACTTTGAACTGAACAACATTTTTCCCGTTTAATTTGTCCGATAGCACACTGCCCTTTCTGTGCCATCCTGTGTTGCTAACTGCTCAATGTTCAATCTAGCTGTAAGCCTTTCTTTAATTTCCCTCACAATTTACTGTTAATTTCGTATAGAATCATGGTCTATCTTCCTATACTCTCTGCCCACGTTCAATTCAATGTATTGCTCACTGCCCAGTTGTGACTACTGAACAAACGCAGGTGAAATTCGTAGAATCCGGTTTCGCCGCAATTAGTACTGACCGTCCGTCGGCGAATTAGACTACACGTGACCTGTCAGATAGGACACCTAAATCATGCATTTGGGCTAATTAACCAACTCCTTGCCTTGAGATCACGGCCTTAGTACAGGATAGTACAATACTGCTGAAAACTACTTACGAACTGTTCCAAGATTTGTTATTCATTTACCCAGATTTGTAGTTTGCTCCTGGGTACTTTGGTGGTGTCACATATGCAGGTTTTTTATCTCATACACAAAAAATTACCTAAAATTTCTCCTCGTCTTGTGTTTTGCCCTTTATCTAGTTTGCTGATAGGTTCGGGAACGAAACAATTGACCTGATCGACTGGAACAGTGGCCGTGGTAATTTGACCTGCGAACAAGATCCAAAATATGAGGAGATACAAAAATTACTGATTGATATTTTTGAAGAAAAAGACGTTTTGACACACGCATTTGGGCTTACGCGAACAGACCTCAAAAATGCCGTCTCCACTTATTTAAGGCATAATAACTGCGGCATTGTTCTGCTCGCTTTCCGCCCTTGGAGTGATATTCATCCGTTCTCAATTACGGAAGACAGCAAACTAGTGGGCGTGTTACTTGCCATACCATCGGCACAAATGCCTGACTTGCCGGAAAAATGGCCTCGTTTAAATTTGCTGCAGCGATATTTTGACTTCTGCTGCACACCGGTTGACGCTACTTTAATGAATGATGCCCCATTGAGGAAAGCGGCTCTCACTGTCATCATGGTTGGTGTCCTTCTATCCACATCGGACGAGTTTTCACACCATGACTTTTCTGTCAGGGCCAGATGGAACCGGGTTATGTTGGAAATACTCGCACGGCTGGAACGACAACTTGTCAGAGTGGCCAAGGCGAAAGGGTACAAGATGATTGAAACACTGAATACTTATGATATTACCAGGGTGAGTGTTGGGTCTTTCTCGGAATCTAACCAGTTTATGGAAAAGAACATTCCTCAGGTGCTGGCCATGAAGTCAGTAGTACGAAGGCCCCCAAAACTTTTCCATGGACTTTATTCTCCTCTTGTGTGTGAAGAATTCTTGTTTGCGCCAACTCTGTACTACTTGTCGTACACTTTCACACTACTAACGGCCTGGAAGTAACACTTATCAAACGTGATTAATTTCCGACAGCTGGCAGAACATCGACGATAAATACAGACACATGGAAAATTAATCTTCAAAGTGTTTGTCCTGTTCTATTATGTAGCACTCAAATGAAATCCAGTCAGTTTGTGAATAGTTGCCCGTGAAATTTTCGATTTAACCCGACGTTGGTCTATGTGTCAAAAACAGACATTATTCCACTCCTCACCAGAATTCGTGAGACGCACAAATGACGGAACTAAGATGGCTCCTACTTCTTCACGTGGTGAGATGTCAAACGACGTAAGCTCATTTGTTCCAGAATTGACTAGAATATGCTGTAAATCTATGGTCAAAATCAAATTGTGGAAGCCTGAAGAATGTGGATTGAAGCTGACAAGTTCGTAATTTAATATTTAAAGTTGGAAAGATGAACAAAGGCCCACGCCTCTAAAAATTCTGATGACCGTGTAGGCATTGCAATTATATTTTCTGAATTGAACACCACATCGTAGCAATTTTACTAGATTAAGGGCGCCAACAATTAGTGTCTTAAAGTTCACTAATTTACCGCCCTTGTTGAAAAAGAATTCTCGCCATTATGCTGGGATTGGACTGACTGTTCAGACTTTATTGCTGAAATTCCACATCAGGCTTGTAAACGTTGGACGTCATACCGTTTGAATAGCTTTCTGCGTAATTAATGAATCTTAAATTCCTGTCAAACTATAGCCTGTTCTTGATGTTGATTCAGGGAAGACATTTAACTTTGAATGTATCTAGTTGATAGAGAATTGTGTCCTGACCTCCCACTGTGTTAGTAAACACTCGTCTCCTCACCATACGTTTTTCAACCGCCTACTCGATGCGCTAGGTCAAAGATAAAAAGTAACCCACCTTAGATAAGCGTTTAAGTTTGACTTCGTCGTTTTTCTTTCCTTTTTTACAGGAAGTTTGCATGGACCTTGGCTACAAGCTAATGAACACAACTCGTATGCAAGCTTTTGCTTTAAAGGAAAACATCGAAGTGGATCCGAAGTACCATGATCATCACAGTTATTATATGGTGAAGTACTTGACCGATTAGTGCGCCCGTGAACTTTGTTACCTTATGTCATCTATGTTTATGCCAGAGTGCTCCTACATAGGGTCAATCTGTGAACCAATAGCATCGTCCCATTGTCAACCAAACGCAGCGTTCACCGTTGTTTTCTCACTTTAGAACTTTCCAATCAGAATCGTGACTTGTTGTCCTGACAGTTGTGCTGGACAAACATTGTTTCAGGGCATTTGATGTCATCTCTCTGGGCTTCATGTATCTTTTCTTTTATCATTTTATAACAACTGTTTCAAATTCATAAGAGTGAAGATGTTTGAATCGTTGTACTTGAATAACGCAATGTTTGAATTTAACATTTCAGTGGCCTTATCAATGTTCACAAGCGACACGATGATGTTTCCCGCCCGGCAGTGGAAGTACTATCCAATACACTTCGTAAGGATTAACGAGGCATTGCTGGCCCAATCAAATCGCAGTTATGCATGATAGAATCACTTTCGAGAAGTAACCGTAGAAGCTCCGAAACTTCCAACCTTTAGGAATCTTATGAATTGCTTATCAGGATAGAGATGTGAAGAAAAACTTTTCAGTTGTTGGTTTCGCCTTTGTACTGGGTTCCATAAAACTAGCTTGACTTTTACTCAAAGTCATTAGAGTTTTACGAAATTCAAAATGTATCCGCCAACCTCGCCATACTAAGTATGGCATCCACAATTGGTCGCAAGTCAAAGTTCAGGCAGCTCACTACCTACAAACAAAAACATGTTAGAGTTCCACTGCACCTTGTTTGCCTCCTGCAGATAATCGCTAGTTTGGAAAATAACGCACAATGAAGGTGAAGATGGTGAAGGTGTTCTTGGAACTTTTCGCAGTGCCTCTGCCGCTTCACGTCTTTTGACCTGTTCCGTAATCGCTTAAACTTCTGCATTCAGTGTTCTTCCTGTGATGAATTCTAACCTAAATAAACAAGGTCAGTCCAGCGGTTTCCTATTTTGGATGTAATAAAACCAGGAGTTTTGAAGACCGCCACCATGGACCATTGACAATGCCGCACCTATCGCGCTTTAGCTTGCGAAAGATCGAAAATTACCAAAGTGAAATTGAACTCACTATGTTGGTGGTCAGCAAGCAATCTACTGCTGCTTGTTTCTTGCTGAGAACCATCTGATGGGTCTCGTTCTACACAAAGTAGAGCGTCACGTCACGCCTCGGATTACCGCTTCAGAGATGAAACATTGGTTCTCCTGAGTACCATATTCTTTTTTCGTAAGAGTTTGGGACGCTTTTCGGCTTAATTTATATGTTAATCAAGCATTCGCTTAAGTGCACATGGCTACATTACCCATCATCCATTGCGAGTTGGAATGTGGTTCCCCATTGCTGCACAAAAAATTTGAGTTCATATCCTTCTCTGGTTTCGTGAAATGGAAAAATTGAAGCCAATCTAAGCTGAAAAGCCGAGAGGCACTGTACAGTTGTCTCATCCTTATAGGGAATCATCAGCGCGCATCTCTCGTTGACTGTTTCCTCAGCGATCGTTTTAGAGAGGGCTTGAGAACCCTTGAGAGCCCCCATCACACATCTTTCATGAACCTCTCGCAGATTAGCATATTCTACACTAGAAAGCCTCGGTCGGTAATACCTAAGCTCAATAAGAGAATAAAGAGCCGCACTTCCAAATGAAACGCTCAAAACAGTCCATCGATAGGAAAATTTCGCCTGCCGATAAGCCTGCACACGATAACGGCATTACTTCCTTCATGAATGCCTGTGGAAACGCGTCCGCGCATTTAGCGTAAACTATCGACCGTAAATGAACCATCCCCAGACTTATATGATAGCTAGACATAATGGCCGACAGATGGTCAGCCTCGGGATTACAGACACTCACATCCGCATCAGAAAACATGAATGAATAGCCAATGAGCTTAGCGAAGCCCTAGAGAAGACAGTGGGTCCTCGTGGAACAACTCTGCTAAAACCAAGAAAGCTCGTCTAGAAAGCGAATTCTCAAGAGCACAAAGGCAATCACGACGGATCCTGGATAAGGAATCTATCTAAAAGGCAACTGACGAAAGCCGAAGGAAACGTTCTCATCTAAGGGCTTAAATTAAACTCCAAAGAGGCGATAAACCAAGATTAGTTGGCTGGACTAGAATCAGCGAAGAAATCTATCGGACTCAACGGAAAAACTCAGGAGCGAATTCGTCAGTCATTTCCTAAGAACCTAACCCTCAGCTATCACATCAACCACCCAAAATGTCACAAACAAAGCTGCATTCGGACAATTATCAAAAGGACTGAGACACTGCTGCATAGCAGAACCCAAGAGTAAATAAGAAAACCACCTATACGCATTGTTTCAGAGAAATAACTACCCAAGGAATTCCATCTGGAGATCACTCAGGAAGCCAAAAACAACCAGTGCAGAGCACAGAATGGGAGAAAACGATTCACAAAGAACATCACTGAACTGACTACAAGACTCACAAGACGGCACAATACGACGGTGGCTTACAAACCCGCGAAAACTGTGCAGAGGACATAGTCAAGACCACGAGGAAAATTAAACCAAATGCTGAAGAACAAAGTCATATACAGGAATAATTGCAAGAACTGCGACAAAGGGCATTTAGGACAGATGGGAAGGAAGCTCTCCACCAGAATACCTGAACACAAGCTCGCTACTGAATGACACGGTCGATTTTACCTCATCGCGCACACAGATCAGGAAGGACATGAGTCCGACTGGAGCAGACTTCGCATGGTGGCTCAAGAATGAACGAAGAGATAACGTGAATTTATGGAAACGTGATATTCCACCGAAGAAGCTATCGACGAAAATATCAAAACTGATTTAATTTATCCACCACTAAGAGCAAGAAAACGCCAAATCGGCAGAGCTCTGGGCTGCAAAAACAGCCGAATGGAGAAGTTATAGGAGAAGCAGAAAGGCTCTGATTCAAATCGACATCATTTTGATTGGAGGAGGGGCTCAGCCAATAAACTAAGGTACCAAATTAACTGTCGGACACAGGGACACTAGCCGTTGCAACGAAGAAGACAGAGCAGTGCAACAAAAAAATCAGTCCATAGAACATCAGACTATAGTGCGATGCAAATCGAGTAGAGGGCCAATCAAATCGACGGAAGCAAGCGATCGACACAAAGTAACGCAAACCACAACGCAATAAAAATCATAAACGGATCAACGGACGCACGAAAGAGGCTGTTCTCTAATAGCCAATCAAGTTAGATGACAGATAGTCTCCAAATGCTATATAAACGCACGCAGGCCAAGAGGACTTACCCACTGATACTGTCCCCTCCTATGGTGCGAAGCGTTCGCAAATCACTTGCCAAGTTTGGCGAACAGATCAACAGCCACCTTATCAACAACTAATTAATGTCGACTTTTGTTTACTGTCGGTGATGTTTCATAATGATGGTAGTGGCAATGGTTGGGACTTCAGGCGTGGCCACATTGTTTACCGTAGCTATTGTGCTGCAAGTCAACAGGAACTGGTAATAAAACACACCGTCATCTGGCACAACAACGTGTTCATCTTTGGTGGCTCATAGGTTTGTGCAAACAAATAGGCCGTCATCCATCATCCATCATTTTATCACCCTTCATTCAGTTCGAGTTATTTAGCCATACCAACAAAGTGATTCAGCGCACTTTGTCACAGCAATAGTTCTGCAATAATTCTAATTTTCTTTGGCCTGGATACAATTAATCAACTAGTCTGTATCAGTTAGGAAAGAAAGGCCAAAAATTCCACTTTATCCGTTCGGTAGTCCAGGAGAAGGGTGTGACCTCATGAGAAGAAGATTTCTCCTAATTTTAAATGTTATGTCAGCTAGTGGGAAGTTTCCGACCGATTTTTTCCGCCTAGTTTGAATAAACATAAAGAATTGGTTGACCGAAGGCGAGACAGACCAGATTAACGTGCAATTTGCCATCAGTCTCACATTTTAGTGAAGTTGACCGGCAAATGTTCGTTGGGCAAATGTAAACTTCAAGGACAATTGCCTCTTCCAACTGGAGCTCCACGGTAAGGTTCGACAGATGAGTTTCAAAGTTTCGTTGCTCGGACCCTCAATTACTCAACAACTCAGTTGATGCTGAGATAAACTGAACAAAATGGGTTTGGAACGACACATCCAATAGGCCTATTACAATCGTTAGCATATGCTTTAAGGATGAAGATGAGCAAATCGCCCCACGGTTCCACTTGCTGTCGACGGTAGGTGTAAATTCTCTGACTATATGTTGATAAGGGACGAAAGCATAAACACAAGATCCTATCTACCGTTTGTAATTCGCTAGAGCCATTTGGAACAACAAAAAGTGGGAAAATTCACAGTGGAATGAATAGTGGAGAGTAAATAAGGCCTGTTTACTTATGCAGAACACCAAAGAAGAAAGGTCTTGATACCAAAGTCAGTCAATTCCCGTATTGAACAACCAGTAGTAGAGTGATGGACGGAAGTGAATGCCACCGGAAGGGTGAAAAAAGCAGACACATCAACTTCTGCCGCACGAAACGCCAAACTAGCGGCTAGTCAGATCATACATCTTTAATTTGCGCCAGACCGGAACTAAACATATGGTATCATGTGATGATTACTTTCCAAGACGACTGTTTGTTAGTTATGCCTATACCCTTCAGTATTTCACTGTTGTTTATAGTTCCCACATGCCTACTCTGCGCAGCTTAGTAAGGTTACAATAAAGAAACACAGAAAGATATTTAGGCGCTCCAACGGTCGATATCTATGGCAAATATACAGTTTTGGGACTGTGAAACTATGTTTGGATCTCTCATAAGCAGCATCTACAATCCTGAGACGAGTGTGGTTGGACAAGATGAGACAGCTGTCTGAAGCAGACGACATGAAAGCCTTTTCATTTGATTCACTTGGAATTCCACAGATAAGTGTTGAACATCTCTTGCAGCGATAGTGCACACCCTGATCAAGAAGTTACCATCAATAACAAAAAAGGGCTCGTGGTTACGAACAAGGAATCACAAAGTATTGGGTTAAGCTAATCAAAAGCCAAATGAACCAGACCAAGAAGCAAAGTTTTTCAGTAGTTATTGTCATTAAATCTCAACGTCTCTATTCCACC